TGCAGGATGCAGTGGTATTGTGCCACCTTACCTCCACACTGGGCAACCTTCTGAGAAACTAGAGTGGTTAGGCCCGCTTTCCTCCCAATCATGGCAGGCGCTCCATCTGTTGTTATCCCGGCCATTTTCTCCCACCTCAAACCATTCTTATCCAGGACTCTCTCAACCGCTGCAAACAAATCCTCGCTTTTAGTCGTGCCACACAATGTCTCAACTCCAGCAAGCTCCTCTGTTATTTCCATATTTTCACGGACACCCTGTATGAAAAGCAAAAGCTGAGCTGAGTCCAAAATGTCTGTACTTTCATCGCACGCTAATGAAAAGGCAACAAATTCAGCAGCCTTTGCTTTGAATTGATCCTTAACGTCCTGGGCCATGTCCTCAATGCGATGAGTCACTGTATTCCATGAGAGGCTGATCTGGGAGAAAGCTCTTGCCTGAGCGGGACACACTAGCTTTGCAGCCATGGATAAGCATTCTTTAACAGAGTCCCCTGTAGAAAATGAACGTCCACTCCTGGCAATTAGAGCTGAAATCTCATAGCTGGCCTGTGTTGTGCTTTCCTGGGCTGACGAGGGTCATGTGAGCGTGTTTTGTTGTGAGCGAAGTTTAGCTAACAACTCTTGGCTCTTTGTCTTCCATGCCTCGCCTTTGAACCTTGAGAATGCTGCATGCCTCGTTTCATAGTGCCGGCGGATATTGTACTCTTTTAGCACAGCGACAGACTGACCGCAAATTAAGCAGACCGCCTTAGAATTAATATCCGTAAAAAAATATTCTTCCTCCCAGGTTCGTTTAAAATGCCTTTTGTCTGTGTGCCACTGTCTACTGCTCTCCATGTTGCTTGCTACTGCTCAGTTCTTCGTGTTGTTGTTGTTCTTCTCCTTGTTTTATTGGCGGGTTGCGAGCTGAGCTGGGAGCTGCTTGACCTGACAACTGGGGTGGCATAATAAATTGTGGGGGGCCAAGAAATGACCCCGCGGGCCCCACTTTGGGCACCCCTGCTCCAACAGCATCCATGCAAATCTGCATCCAGAAAAGCAGCAGTTTTATCATAGTTGCTCTTAGTATTGGCACACCCCAGCTACTGTACTTTGACAGCTTATTTTATCAGTATGACACATCCATTGTTTTGTACTAATCCCTTGTCATTGTGGTTTAGTGGCATGCACCTAGCTCCTCCAAAACTGCTTTTACCACTACTACATTTATCAAGGGCTGTTTTTAATACGGCTGATTATTTTTCCTTTTAGTTCATTATATATCAAAACATATTTTAGTGCTTATATATTTTCTCACAGTTGCAGTTACTTTGCAGATGAAAGAGTTCACAGGCAAATCTAAGCTCAAAAGGTCTGTGGAGGAGCTGCAACATTAAAATGCTGCCTAATGTTCAAGAGCTTAGTGATTCAAATCATTAAATTACTACTTTTATTTAAGTAAAGATTTGAATATTTTCCTTTGCAATGTATAATGTAAATACTCACTGATCAGTTGAGTCACATTGGGTTATACTGTACTACAGAGTAAGTGTTACTTCCTAGAGGCATAAGGACAGCTCCTTGTTGAGATTTTACTGCGCATAGCACTATATTTCCCATTAAGTAGTAGGGTGCACAGTGGGTGCAGGGTTGCTGTTGCAGACAGGAAGTAGAGAACATGTTTTGAGAGTCTGTTGCACCTTTTTTGTTAAGGCTTGCTCACACTGAATGCCATGATTGATGCTAATTCATGCTGGATCATCCCGTTGATCAGCATAAATGTCCTGTAGTGTGTGCAGGTTTAACCATCCGCATCAGGGAGCCCAAAAAGATGTTTCCACTTGTGTTTGATCATATTAAGTGTATATTCAAGGCCTATGTACTTAATGGGACACAGCTCAGGTGCTGATTGCAGTGTTGGTTTTCTTTTTAAAACTGCAACTGAAAAATTCTATGGTATCATGGTGGTGTAGTGGCATGTTCTCCCTGTGCCTGGGTGGGTTCAATCCTGGTGCTCCTGCTTCCTTCCACAGTCCAAAGACATGCAGCTTAGGTTGATTGGTGACTCTAAACTGCCCATATGAGTGAGTGTGGGTGTGTGTGGTTGTCTGTCTCTAAGTGTCAGTCCTGTGATAGACTGGCTACCTGTCCATGGTGTACCTCACCTCTCGCCCAGTGTCAGCTGGGATTGGCTCTAGCCCCCCACCACAACCCTATTCAGGAGTAATATAGATAATGGATGGATGGATAAAAAATTCCACTGAAATGGCAGCTGCGATCACATTCACATCAGCAACAACTGAGCTCAGAGGGAAAGAAATAAGGAAGAACTAGTAGGGAAGTTACAGTTTTTTAACAACTTCCACTCACATCATTCAGTAGTGTTCAAACTGTGGGTCAGGACTAGGACAGACATTCATTAACAGCCTCATCAAGGTGTGTTATACTTACATGTAATGTTCCCTTCCATGTTCATGACATTGCCGTGATCACTATTGTGAGCAATTTAAACATGTTATTAAATGTTTACTGACCAGAAAGACAATCAGTGTTGATTAATTTCAGCAGGCTGAAAGGTGAATGTACCCTTTTATAACAACTTCATTCATGCTTGGTATCAAACATAAATACTGGTTATGTTATTGGTGCCAAAACCTGGATACTGTATTGTCAGAATTCACACATTACAAATGATAACCGGCATTACACCTCCCTAAATCTTTAGGTCAAACTGTAATGGGATTCAGAGGAAATCTTCTTCTGCAGTGTTTTAGTTGTAGAAGTACTGATAATTCTCTGAGTGATACAAATGTTAAACATGAGAAAGAAACAGGACGTAGAGAAAATTGGACAAAAAGATAGAAGGGGTGTGTCTATTACTACAAGTGTGTGTGTTGAGTCCCTCACCCACACTACCCACACCCTCCCTCTTTCTGTGTGTGTGTGTGCCTTGCTCGGCTTCCAGAAAAGGGTGTGTCCGCCTGCCTGCCGCTGAAAGGGAGGGAGGGGTCAGTTCATGACTACTCCTCCCTGCTCTCTTTCTGTGTCTCTGTTATTTCTCTTTCACTCTCATTCCCTCAGTGGCAGGCTCAGGATTAGGCCTTTGTCTCTCTGCCTCGCGAAATTTCTTTTTTAAACAGACTGTGTGTTTTTACACCACCTTCTGGCAGATTTTTCAGAGGGGGGTTTCTTTAGCTGGCTTTCAGAGCCAAGGTAATGCTTGTAGTCGTGTTTTTTTTTACCTCCAAACTCTAGCATGCAATTTCCTTTCTTGCTTCCTCTCCTACCTGTCTTCCTCGACCACTCTCTTTCTTTCCTTTTCTCTTGCTTACTTCTTGTTCCCCCCCACCCACTTCACTTCAAATTGCATCTTCAAGTCCTTTAAGAAATCTCCTCCTTTCACTCTCTCCCTCTGGCCTGGAAGTTGTCTTTTTTTAAATACCTTGTTCTCACCCTTTCCTCCCCCTCTTCCCCTGTTTTCCTCTGCCATTTTCCCCA